GTCTGATGTAAGTGACAGCCACCTTTTTTAGGTTGTAAAATTTTTGTGATACCATCAGTGGGATTGGGTAAATCTGGACTCTGCTGTAGTTAAGAAACCCTGCCTGTTGATAAGATCACCATAAAATTCCTTTTAAGGTCTGGGGATGGATGTGGTTCAGTGGTAAAGTATTTGCCTACCATGCTTGAGATCTGGGGTTTGATCTCTAGCACTGGGAGAAAATTGCTTTTAAGAAAAAATATCAAAATTCTCACCATGTGAACATTTTAACCCTGAAAAGAATTGAGTATATAATATTTATGAGATTCAAGTCTATGATATTAATATTTTCTTCTAAGAAATCTAGGCACATTTAAATTCTATGTACATGTAATGTTTAAGAGAATTTACCCTATTGGAATAACCATTTGTCTTGTAGTTTGTTTAAGATGTGTAACTTGATTCTAAGGTAAAATATTACTATTAGCAAACAGTATGAAAAAAACACTCAACATAAATTAAAATTTGCAGCATTTATAAATGTAATTTATCAATTGAGTTACTTATAAATCAACTAAAGAGCCCAACAAGGAAAACCAATACATTCAATTCATAAATGAAAGTTTTTTAATGGAGGTAAAAATGTTTAGAGGTGATTAAGTTTGTTAATGGAATCAAACCCCTTCTTAACTTGTGTTTTGGTTTGGACGTGAGATGTCCCTGCAAAGCTCCTATGTTAATGCAGGAATGTTCAGTGGTTAAACAATTAGATTATGAGAACTGCAATCTAATCAATTCATTCTTCTTTGAAAGGACTGACTGGGTAATTACTGTAAGCAGGTGTGGCCTGGCTGAGATGGTGGGTCACTAGAGTTGTGCCCTGAAGGGGTTCATTTTCTCTACAGCCCCTTCTCCTTTCTCTGTCTTTCCTGTTTGTCATGAAGGAGCAATTCCCGCACCAGATTGTGCCCCTTCTGCCATGAAGTTCTGTCTCATCTTGAGCCTAGATCAATGAACTCTGCTGAACCATGGACTGAACCTGAGCCAAAATAAACTTTTCCTCCTCTAAGTTGTCCTTAGCAGGCATTTTGGTCACAGCAATGAAAAGCTGACTAACATAAGTTGTTAAAATTTGGTGGAAATGCCTGGTGCAGTGGCACATGCCTGTAATCCCAGTGGTTTAGGAGCTGAGGCAGGAGGATCATGGGTTCAAAGCCAGCCTCAGCAAAAGCGAGGCTCTAAGCAGAGGCTCTAAGCAATTCAGTGAAACCCTGTCTCTAAATAAAACACAAAATAGGGTATGTGTTTTATTTAGATATAAATAAATAAAAGGGGATGTGGCTCAGTGGTCGAGTTCAATTCCTGGTACACCCCCCAAAAAAATTTTGTTGGAGTTTTAAGTAAAATAAGATTAATTATCCAGCCTTAGAAAACTAAGGAAGAGGGGCTGAGTTGTGGCTCAATGTTAGAGCACATCCCTAGAAAGTGTGAGGCACTGGGTTTGATTCACAGCACCATATAAAAATAAATAAATATTGTGTCCACCTACAACTAAAAAAAATTTAAAAATAAAAAAAAAAACCTAAGGAGGAATTATGCTATGAAACTTGCAATTTCAATAAATATAACATTGTAAAAATAGAATCATATAATATTTTCTGTCCACAAAAACTATTTTTGGATGCACCAAAAAGTTTTTACATTAACAATCGCTACCATTTCTGTCTTTTTCAATGTGAGTGCCTTATTCTGGGGGAAAGGTAGTATTTTTGTACCTAGGACTGACTGTAGTGGGAGCTCTAGAGAAAGCCCTCACTTCCCTGTTGTATTTGTGGTGGCTACAACAATGATAAGCCTTCATGAAGCTCTGTTCCCACCTAAAACCTTCCTTGAGTGACTTCTAGTGTTAGGATATCTGGATTCAAATCATGGCTTTACTACTGCCTGCTTGGGGATCATGGAAAAATAACTTAAACTTTCTGGGCCTCATTTCCTTTCTGAAAAAGGGGGGATGATAACACCAGCACCGGCTTCATATTGTGCTTGTGAAGGTTAAATGAAACACCACAGGAAATGCTCTTAGAACTGTGCTGGGCACAAAGTAAGCACTCTGTAAATTTTAGCTGTTATCATAACTTGATCCAATCTCTCCTGTCTCTGACCTAAGTGCATTGAGACACATGAAAAAAAGCTGTCTTCACTCCCGCCTCTCACCGGATCCTTCTTCCATCTCTTGAAAAAACTGCAAAATCCACAAGGCAGAAAAAATGGAATTTGCCTGGACTCAGTGTTCAGAAATTATAATTAGCTTATACTACACAAATATTAAGATATATTAAAAACCGTGCTATTTGTTTGTTTTGGAGACAGGGTCTTGCTATGTTACCCAGGGTGGTCTCAAACTTATGATCATTCTGTCCCAGCCACCAAGCATCTGGGATCATAGGCATGTGCCACCACACTCAGCTTTTAAAAATACTGGAGCGGGCTGGGGTTGTGGCTCAGTGGTAGAGCGTTTGCCTAGCATGTTTGAGGCTCTGGGTTCGATCCTCAGCACCAACATGAAAATAAAAACACTGGAGCTTTTAATGTGCATAATGGTCTTGCCTTCTTAAAAAAATACTGTCATAGGAGCTATTTATAATGTACAAAAGATGATTTTTATTATTCATCAAACAACTAAAAAAGGAATGTGAAGGAAAATGTAAACAAATGACAATTTGGATTTTCATTTCTGATCTTGCAACAGATTCATCTGTTTTCAAAAACATAAAGACATTCCAGATTAATGTAAATTAAAATAGCCACTGTTGGACATTAATGTTTTTTTCAAAACATTTCTTCTGTGTATTCTTCCCCAAAAAATGAGACTAGAAAAAAATTTTTGAGACAGCTTACCTATTTGTAAGATAAAGGGGCCTAGACTGCCCATCCATCTGCCCAGTTCTCCTCTTCCTTATGTTTGTTAGTGGGCTACTATTCTCCTAGTTAACATCCAAAATCTGCTAACTTTGGCACTGGCTTTGCATTACTCTCTTACCCTGGCACTCTCTTATGGTTTGGACATGAGGTGTTCCCAAAAAGCTCCTGTATTAATGCAGAAATGTTCAGAGGTGAAATGACTGGATTATGAGAGCTGTAACCTAATTAGGTCATCCTTGTTTGAATGGACTGAGGAGTGATAACTGTAGGCAGGTGGGGTGTGGCTGGAGAAGGTGGGTCACTGAGTCTTTCCCAAAAAGGGTGCATCTGC